AAGATGGAAGTATCAGCTTGGCAATCCAACGGTTCAATGAAAAGATACACGAAGAGCAAGATGTCCCGTAAACCAGCCGGCAAGCAGTTCCACCTGCGGCCAACAGCCATTTCACCATGGCCAGAGGCTTCCCGGCCGCGGCCAACCATTTATTCCCTGCGGTCACGCATATCCCGACCGCAGCCAGCCAACTCTGAACTCGAAGGTTCATTTCTCAAGCCCAAAATGATTCCCTCATTTGGAGAAACTCTAAGTGACGCCCAGAGATGTCTTGAGCACTATAAATACATGTCTTAGGAACCCTAATTCGTATCATCACCTTTTACACCATCTCGTTTTCTTATTGTTTTTATGCTTTAGCTTTTGGGGAGAGATAGATTTGTCTCTTGAACCCTTGTTCTTTCTTTTTCAATTTCGACTATTGCTCTACTTTTCAATACTATGTTTTTGATTTCGTTCATCATGTCTGAGTAGTTTTATTGTTGGGTCTAAGAGATTTTCGATGGGGATATATATGTTCGATGAGGATTCCATGAGCTATTGAAGCCGAATCTTAGAGATTTTTTTCTGAATTTATTTTTACTGCATTAGAGTAGCGTCATGAACTACAATCTGATCCAGATGCTTGGTGACACGAAACTGTTCATCCGGTGTCAGATCTAGTTTGGGAGAGCAAAACAAACATAGGAGTGGAAACCTACCTATGGGCGATTTGTGAATGCTGACGAGTCTTAAACATAATGCATCTTTTCTCTTCCAGGGCCAGAGTGGAAACCTACTGGTCAGGGTTGAGAGAGATCTATGATCAGGACAGTTGCGTATTCATACGTCTTTGACTCTAGTTCGAAAAGTTTAAGCTAAGATCTTATCAAAGTTACTCTCTAGCAATGTTTTGAATCGTTCATACCCCTGAGAAAACTTCCCTGAAACCCAGCGCCTTCTTTCCTATAGATTTACACCAATTTTCATTCAAGTTTTAGTTTAGTATCTTTACTCTTACAATCGATTTTCATTTAAAAAATTAGGTTTAGCCGTTTTTCTCGTTTTTAGTCGATTTCATTAAGTTTAGTTATTAATTCCCGTATTTTCTCTTTAAGATTAGTTTTTACATAGATACCACCAAAACCCCTACAAAAATCACCTGGTTCTAGACTTCCTTACTTTATATTTCTTTCGAAAGCTTTTGCAGGAAAGATCTTCCTTCCCTGTGGATTCGATCCCTAAGTACTACAATCGATCAGTTGTGCACTTGCGGCTATTGATTTTATTTAGGGTAAAACTTGATACCCTCACACAGCAGACACATCAAGTTTTTGGCGCCGTTGTCGGGGAAGGCACGCATTTTTTTTTCAGCAAAACCCTAAGAAAGGTTGGTAAATCGACTCTAGAACCCTTTTTCTGCATATTTCCATTTTTGGTTCTTTTTGTTTCCATTCCAGAAGCAATGGACCCTATAAATCGAATCCCTACTATGAGGGAGGTTTTTACAACACTCCTCAAGCCACCAGACGCAGAGAAGAACACCAAGCCCGAGATCTTAGCTACATGGATCGATACAGCCAGCCAAATTATCCATACTACCGGCGCAAAGAGCCTGTTCGACGCCGGGAAGATCCTTATGGTCCTCCTCCGACCTATTTCGAGTCACACGCCTATCATCCTCCACCGCAGAACCCTAATCAGCAAGAGGATAACTTGAGGATCAGCAGACGTTTAGGACATCTCGAAGAAATGATAAACCAGTTCCTTGATCAGAAGATTCTCATCGAAAACACCCTGCTCAAGAGATTTGATTCAATCTTTGAAGAGTTTAACAGAAATTTCGATGATCTGGCCAATCATGTTCGAGTTCTGGAAGAACAAACCCACAAGGACGCACAAACACTAGCTGGGATGATCAACCAAGTTGCAGCAGAGCAGACAAGACAATGGTATGACATCATACAAAACTCAAGTGATATTGTCGAATCGAAGCAGGAGATCAAAGAAGTCAGAGAATCCGCCTCCTGTATAGAGAGAAGACAAACGAAGAGTTGCAGGAGATCGAGCACAGGCTGAACAAACTCGAGCTCAAGGCACGGGAGATTAATGCAAGATTGGAACAGATGCCCAACATTGAGCAAATTATGAGATTTTCTAAGAAATCTCCCAAAGATCCTGATGAAGATGCACAGAAACACCCTTGTATGAGTTCAGATGATGCTAGTCTACCAAAGAAAGAAGCTGAAGAGGTTCGTATCAAGTACAAGAAGGAAGAAGCGGACTATGAGCAAATCATGTCCGGAGCCGCGGGTCCGACCACTCTGTCCGCGGCCAAGGCTCCTTTTCCCGCGATCGCGAGGCCTCTGACCGCGGGGATTGGTCGTTCAAGTTCGCCTCCGGGATTCGAAAGAAAAATAATACATCTTCTGGCCCAACTTCAACCTCCAGCACCTAAAAAAGCAACTTAGGAAGAAAGAGACCAAGTTTCAGATGAAGAAACGGATTGGCAGGAATCATTAACTTGGATGATGGCAATGGAATGTGTTGAGGATTTAGATGACTCTTCAATCCAAGAAGACCTGAAATGCAGCAAGATAAAGATGTCATACATCGATTCAATCATTGAATACGACGCTGCAGCTTTCTTTTGTGAGTCCTATTCTGCGTTTGAAACGCCAGCCAACGCTTACAGAGAAAGGCAAGTTCGAACTCTTCATAAGGTCAAGACTACATGTCAGTTTCTCATCTCTTGTTCTATTAGAGGTGAAATGTTTAAAGATGTACTTTGTGATTCTGGAGCTTGTCTTAACATAATGTCCAAGGCAATTGCTTTGAGACTTGGTATTAAACACCTGCGCAGGACTAGAGCAAAGATTAGTCTAGCTGATGATTCCATTGCAACACCTCAAGGAATAGCTCATGACATTCCTTTGAGAATAGGAGATTGCATCGTGCCTGATGACTTCTACATAGTCGAAACAAGAGACGCAACACATCCAGTGATTCTCGGATGGTCTTTTCTAGCAACTTCTGGAGCTATAATGGACTGGCCAAACCGGAGGATTTCGTTTTCTAATATCGACAAAGATGTCTTCACAGAAGCTGTCCCATACAACAGCAAAGCAGGTTTTAGGGAGAGAGAGATTTGTCTCTTAAACCCTTGTTTTTTTCTTTTTCAATTTCGATTATTGCTTTACTTTTCAATACTATGTTTTTGATTTCGTTCATCATGTCTGAGTAGTTTTATTGTTGGGTCTAAGGGATTTTTCGATGGGGATACATATGTTCGATGAGGATTCCATGAGCTATTGAAGCCGAATCTTAGAACTTTTTCTTCTGAATTTATTTTTACTGCATGAGAGTAGCGTCATGAATTACAATCTGATCCAGATGACTGGTGACACGAAAGTGTTCATCTGGTGTCAGATCTAGTTTGGGAGAGCAAAACAAACATAGGAGTGGAAACCTACCTATGGGTGATTTGTGAATGCTGACGAGTCTTAAACATAATGCATCTTTTCTCTTCCAGGGCCAGAGTGGAAACCTACTGGTCAGGGTTGAGAGAGATAGTTTTCTATGATCATGACAGTGGAGTATTCATACGTCCGTGACTCTAGTTCGAAAAGTTCAAGCTAAGATCTTATCAAATTTAGTCTCTAGCAATGTTTTGAATCGTTCATACCCCTGAGAAAACTTCCCTGAAACCCAGCGCCTTCTTTCCTATAGATTTATACCGATTTTCATTCAAGTTTTAGTCTAGTATCTTTACTCTTTCAATCGATTTTCATTTAAGTAATTAGGTTTTGCCGTTTTTCTCATTTTTAGTCGATTTCATTAAGTGTAGTTATTAGGTCATTTTAATTCCCGTATTCTCTCTTTAAGATTAGTTTTTACGTTTTAAAGACACCACCAAAACCCTCACAAAAATCGTCTGGTTCTAGACTTCTTTACTTTATATTTCTTTTGAACGCTTTTGTAGGAAAGATCCTCCTTCCCTGTGGATTTGATCCCTAAGTACTACAATCGATCAGCTGTGCACTTGCGGCTATTGATTTCATTTAGGGTAAAACTTGACACCCTCGACACACCACATCATTGACTTCTATCTCTGAAATTCCTGCGAATTATCTTAGTCTAGTGTTTGTTTTAATTGAATTTTAATCATCGTAATTTTCTTTTACTTGTTTCATACTTTCGATCGAATCACATTCTTTCTTAGCTTTGTTTTAACCCTCGTGGTGTCATAGTGTAACACTGGTCCTATGGATTTTGAATCTTTTATATTACAATCTCAAGTTGTTCTATTGCAGTAGAAACTAGGAGATAATATCCAGTGAATCAATTTTTGGTGCTGTTGCCGGGACCAATTTGTTACCTTTGATTCTTGGCTTGAAATTCAGTCTAAGATTTTGCTAACTTGCTCTCTTTTCTCTCTTGCGTGTGTTTCAGGTGTATGACAAAGAGATCCACAAAAAGAAACTGTACCGAGAATCTAGTCACCTTATCGCCGAGCTTGCAAGAGTAGAGCGAGAAAACAGACGTCAAAAGCCTACTTCAGCCAACATGGGCGACGAAGGCAACAACGAAATGACTGCTGAACTGCAGCAGTTGGAACAGCTGCGGAAAGCACAGTAAGACAGGGAACAGCCGCAACCAGCCATCGGAGACAAGGACAATCTGCATGCTTTTTACCAAAACAGAACTGTGATTGTCCCTCCTACAATTCAGAAGCAAGACTTTGAGATCAAACCTCAGATGATCTCATTGGTGAAGCAGCACCTCTTCCATGAGCTCCCAGCTAAAATTCTGATGGACCACATCAAAAACTTTGAGGAGATTTGCAGCACAACTGGTTCGAATGTGATACTAGGCAATTTCCTGAAATGAAAGCTTTTTCCGTTCTCACTTGCGGATAAGGCTTCTTGCTGGTTGAAGCCATTACCACCTGTGTCCTTGACTACATAGACATAGTGCAGGTCAGCGTTTTTGGACCACTTCTACACCAAGTCCAAAACCGCATCTCTGAGGAACAAGATCTCATCATTCAGGCAGCAACCTGGAGAAGCTTTCTGCAAAGGTTGGGAAAGGTACAAGGAGTACCGAAGAGAGTGTCCTCACCATGAGTTCTCTGATGAGCAGATTATGGCTACCATCTATGATGGTGTCAATTGAGAGTACAAGAATGTTTTGAATGCAGCCAGCAATGGCAATTTCATGACTAAGTCCAAAACAGGTGCTTATGAGTTGATTGAGACTTGGCTGCAAGCTCCAGCAACAAATCACAAGTATATGACAGGTCGATGAAGGCAGTTAACCAGTGTGGACTCTCACAAGATTGATGAGCTGACATGCATGGTGAATCTGTTGTTGAAGGAGAACCAGAAATCAGTACACTTTGCTGATGAGAATGGCGATGCATCTCTCTCTCAAGAGTTCGGTGAAGTAGAGAATGATGATCAGATGGAGGTCAACTTTGTGAATAGGCAAGGTTATGTGCAGAATCGCGGTATGTGGCGACATAGATCCCTTTCTGTGATGATTGGGCGGAATGGTCTTGTCTAATGGTGGAGTGGTGCACTCCTCATGGATTCAGGACTGTTCTGATTTACCTTGTCAAGAAGGCTGAGTTGAACTCATCGATCTCGTTTCGGCTAGGGTCTGTTTCTTGGTACTTGCTTGTAGGGTTATCCTTGTTTGCTAGCTTGTTTTAGGATTAGGCTCTCTGTAATATTCATGTTTGTTTGATGGTGTTGTGGATCTCCTTAAGATCTATTCTCGCTGAATAATCCCAAATTACTCACTCATTTTTCTTCCTTATTTTATTTTCAGATATAGTAGATCAATTATGTCTATGTTGTTGATTGTTATATAAGCGTTTTCGAACCTGGTAGACCTGAGGTTCACCAAAAGAGTATAGTTCTAACATGTCCGATTCTCTGATTTTCTAAGAAATCTGACATAGGGATATTACAATAACTGCTAGTAATTTTCTCCTCTGATGGCTGACTGCTGCTAGGTTTTCTAAAAAAAACCTCTTTTCTCTGCCAACTCATTTATAAAGAAAAATAAAACTAAAGTTTTTTTAAACTTTCTCTACATGAACTTCTCCTCTACTTTTAGGGAATTCGTCTCTAAATTTGGGACGAGTTGATCGGTTTTACTGACATTTTATTGATAGTCCAGGATAGAGATGTTCTCCTCTACTTCTAGGGAATTCGTCCCAAATTTCTCCTACTTCGTTTAATATTGGGTTAATTCGTAATATTAGTACAATTGTGGTCGGCAGAACATCTATACCATCATTTGTTTTTATAGTAAGGAATATAGACATCACTTACATCTTAAACAATAAATGCCCGGTGGAGGAAAAAGAAGAATCAAAATGTACGAGAATCAGATGCGAAAATTATTCTTATTGGGCTAATGGGCTTTACTTTTCGTTTTATCATCTGCTTTATATAATTCAGACTTCGTCCTCTTCACACCTTCATCGCATTACACACCAACGTTGATTTCTCTCCTTCTCTATCTCTCAAATTCCTTCGCCAAAAATGGCCGATCAGCTCACCGATGATCAGATCTCCGAGTTTAAAGAAGCTTTCAGCCTATTCGACAAGGACGGAGATGGTTCGACTCTCTCAGATCTTTCTTCCTCTTCATTTTTCTTTCCTTCTATGGCAGATATTTGTCTGCGTCGTTTTGCTTGAACTGCTTAAGAATCTGTTGCTTTTCGTTGTTCGTTTCCTTAATGTTGACTCTATTTCGTCGAGATTTGGCTTCGATTTATGTAAGTTATGTGACATCTGGATCGTTTCGTAGTTTATGGTCGCAATTGGGATCTATCTCGATGATATCTTCTCAATCGAAGCAGAGTTTAGTTGATTTCATTAGATTTATAGGCAAATTTTCGTTTCTAAGTCTGTTGATGCGTCTCCATAATTCAAAGTAAATTGTAGATTAAATTGAAGTTTTGGAGTTGAAAAATTGATTGCAGGTTGCATCACGACAAAAGAGCTAGGTACAGTGATGAGGTCACTAGGTCAGAATCCAACAGAAGCAGAGCTTCAAGATATGATTAACGAAGTTGATGCTGATGGGAACGGGACAATAGATTTTCCTGAGTTTCTGAATCTGATGGCTCGGAAGATGAAGGACACAGATTCTGAGGAAGAACTCAAAGAAGCTTTCAGGGTTTTCGATAAGGACCAGAACGGTTTCATTTCAGCTGCGGAATTAAGACATGTGATGACCAATTTGGGGGAGAAACTGACAGATGAAGAAGTTGATGAGATGATCAAAGAAGCTGATGTTGATGGAGATGGTCAGATCAATTATGAAGAGTTTGTCAAAGTGATGATGGCAAAGTGAGGAACAATTCTCAATCTCTCCCTTTTTTTTTCATTGTATTGAAGAATTCTCTGATTTTTTTTTTGTTTATTCCATATTTGACTTTTGTCTGTTCATCATCATAGACATTCGTTTCTTCCTTTTAGTGTTTGTTCGTCTTTTTTTTTTGTCATTTTTCAAAATAAATTAATGTTTATGTTTGGAAAGGATTTAAAATGGTGTTTTCTTTTGTGAACTACCATTCTAATGGTCATTTGAAAAAAAGCTAGCTTCTAAGTTCATGGGAAATGTGGAAAACGGTTTATATAATGTATTTCGATGTGTGCTTTAATTATATAAGCTAAATGTGGTTAAATTTCTAGAAAAATGTCTAAAAACAAATATTTTATTCTTTCAAGTGGTAAATTACAATAATTTTAAATTTCAGGTGGTTTGAATTTAGATCAACTAGTTTCTTTGTTTTAGAACTAAAAAAAAAAAGAAGAAAAAAAATACTAAAATTAGTTTTTGTTTCAAACTTAGCACACCAATTAATTCCTAAAATAGCATAAACAGTTATGTAAAAAAAGATTTTTTATCATAATTAAATTAAAACATTATGTTTGCGTTTCCCATTTTCTATTTAAAATTTATTTTTTTCTACTAGAGAAGGGTTTTGAGTCATTTTAAAATTGAATTTGTGCTATTATTGGGAAATTCAATGTTAAATTTAAAACAAAAAATGTACTATTTTAGACAATTGTCCAAAAAAAATGTTGGTTAAATTTTTTGAGGAATGTTGTCATTATACGGATAGAAATGACAACGTTATACGGTTAAATATAATCCATTTCTATCCGATTTTCATATTATACGGTTCACATAAATGGATTATATTATTATAAATAAATAAACTTTTATACAAAAGGGGGCAGAAATAGCTCATTTTAACTATATAATACAAACAACTCTAACTATTACAATTAGAGAAATTAAATTTAGGAAATTCGAAAAGGGTAAAATGCAAAACACACAAAAAGTATGCCTATTCTATTGTGAGTTGTAAAAGAGAAAAACTCAATTATTAAACTAAAGCAAGATATGTTTAGAGGAATAAAATCATTATATGGTTATTAGTAGCGAAAGCCAGATAGATGAAGTGAGAATCTCCTAACCTTTTAATTCTGTGCATGAAATTTTGTTTTACAAACATTATTCTGTTCTTTTTCATTAATTATTGTCGAATCTTATTTGGTTACTAACTATTTTTCTTCGATTCAAAATGTGTGTGGGGCTTTAGGAGAAGACGAAAGAGGAATATGACGGCGAAGCGTAGTAGCACTACTGAATACAAAGAAGAGAACCGTCGCCGGAAAAGTCACTGCCGTATTCTCTGACTCCGGCATTTCTAATTAATTCTCTCTCTTTTATATGCTTGTGTGTAAAAATAAGAGATTTGTACCTCAACCCAATAAAAAGGATTTTAAACATCATATCTTGTGATTTTTTATGACGTCAAATGAAAAAAAAAAATTCTTGTATTGAAATATTACCTATACTGACTTCAAATATCATAAATTTTTAGACAAAAATAAAACTACCTTAAAGTTTTTTGAGTAACATTAAGAAATAAATAATAGTTTTAAAACCTCATGACTCAAGACATCACCAACGGCTCGATCATTGCAAGACAATGGTTTATTTACACCATCTAAACCTTTTTTCAACCAGAAAGTTCATATAACACGTCCAAATACAAGAAGAACAACAAGAGCCTCAAGTTTTCTTTCTCGTATTCATCCCTTCAAAGCCTAATGACTTGCTTTACGCTTTTGATGAATAATTCAAATAATGTATTTCTCTTTTTACTCATATGGACCGTTGGAGGTTCTTTGTATAACAACACTATTGATGCAATTTGTGTGACCAATAAGATTTTCACCCAATTTTTATTTATCTTTTTAGTCTGATTACTCAAAGTTTATTAGAAAAACTTTCAAGTCTAATTTCTTTATCTACCTCTCTAAAATCCTAACCTAGAAGTCATTCCTCTCCACTCTATAAATAGAGAAGCCATGACCTAGAAGAGATCAGAGAGCTATCTTGTGGTGAAGCACCTTAAAAAGAGAAGCCAATGTATAGCCATCTAGGAGGCAGATCCAGCCTGTTGAGACAGATCCGTCGACCAGTTCTGGCGTAAGAGAAAAACGGACAGGCAAATCGGATCTAGCTATAGCCACTAGCAGATCTTCATTTGGAGTTGTCATTTGAAAGTTATGTGTGTTTTTCTGAAGCAGATCTGCACAAATCAGATTTGAGAGAAGTCAACTTCGGAAGCGTTTTTCTCAGATGGTCAGCGATCTGAGAAGCTCCAGAAGACAATCTTCATACTGATACGAAGCTCTTCAATTCCTATTTTCAGATCTACCTTCAGATCTTTTTTCCGAGATATGATCAGAGAGTTGTGTCTGTTTCTTTCCGGCAAAGTTTCTGTCCACTCCAAAATCTTAGTTCTATTTTTGGAAAGTTTAATTTTCCAAGTATTTATATTTCTAGAAAGCCCATTTATGAAAAATCTATTTATAGAAACTTTTTTTGAATCACAGACCTTGGGACGCCTATTCCAACCAGTTCTTCTGACGCATTGTAACTTCAATCACAAGGCAAAGATGAGGCGGGACTTGTGGATCTATAGGTTGTCTTAGACATAGTTGTATATGTGTATGGTGAACCTAGAATTAGAGATTGATTGGTAATTAAAATGAACATAAATGATTACTTGAGAACTGTTGTATGTATTGTTGATTGGTGTTAGTTTAGACGAGTTAGAGCGTATGATTGATCCCGGCCGATGGACGAATTATTTGCTGGTCTTCACGAAGAACGTTTTGTGAAGTGGGACCACAGCTGGACCATACACAGAGGGAGTGTGGCCAGTACAGGGGCTGACGGACCTGTGAGATTTGTGGCTGACAAGTCACCAGATTTAAACAGATTTACAGTGTGACGTTCTCGTGAGTGAAAACTTGTGTGCTAGGTTTCTCTGTACTTTTGAAAGATTTATGATTTTTTTTTGTCTAATCTTAGGTTAAATAGACATATATGTGGTTTTATTTAATTTTTCGTATAGATCAAGTGGACAGGTAGGATCATTCTCACTGAGTAACTTATTAATCACTTCTCTTCTCTTTTTCTAGTGAGTTCTTCATGTAGACTCGAGTTGAAGTCGCATTGGTGCTGTTCCAAGAAAAAAAAGGTGTTTTATTTTATTTCTAAAGATATTTACGCTGCTTTATTTTTCTAAGTTTGAATTAATGTTTTCTATTAAGATGTTTTTTTTTCAGTTTTCCTAGTTTATTTTAATAAAGAATTTTCAGACATTAATTAAATATTTTATGAGTTCATATTTATATGAAAAGCTGTTAAGTGAGTGAAGAATAAGCTAAGTTAAGTTTCCGAAATTAGGGTATCTCAATTTGTCCCAATCATTTGTTCTTCACCTTTTTATCAATTGAAATCTTTCCGTTTTGCTTTACAAAATATTTCTTTTTGCTCGTGTTTATCTGTCGAGTGTTTCTCCTCATAGTGTTTGAACTTATTAGAAGATCCTTCACAGCCTTAAGTGCTGTTTCTCAATCCTCCAACTTATCAAGCTACCTGGTTAGATCCAAAGAGAGAATTTTCTCTGTTTTCTTTGTATTTAGCTCACTCCCATGGATCATACACCATCCGAGATGTATATCAATCCATGTATATAAACATGTTAAGTAGCATCATTGCGTCTTTTAAGGATGGATATGTTTAAGCCTTATTCATTGAATCTCACTCAAGCCCATCCAAAAATGCAATTAAAATATCTGTACTTCAAGGGATTCACATGTTCCTGCACCATCATCATACTATGAGATAAAGAAACTTGTTGCTGGTCTAGGATTGCTGTAAAAGATGATAGATGTATGCGTAAATAACTGTATGATATATTGGAGAGAGGATGAAAACCGCCTGACATGTTGTTTTTGTCAAAAACCTCGCTATTAGAAAACAAGTGGAAGAGTGTCAGTCCCATATAAACGGATGTGATATTTGCCGTTAACAGAGAGATTGAAAAAGTTATATCAATCAGAGCGCACGGCAGGAGCTATGAGATGGCGTGCAGAACATACAACAAATGGAGAAATTGCGCATCTTTAAGATGCAGGAGCGTGGAAGCCAAAGTTGCTGCACAACCAGCCTAAGCCAGAAGCCCTCAATGACGACGTCTGGAAAGGGCTTTTGTGTGCATTGGAGTAAGGATTCAACGAAAGAGCAGTCCAAGAAAAATCTCGAAAAACTGGAAGAGTGAGCAAGGAGGAAAAGGGATTTTCATTCACAACAACGGTGCAAAATCGATCGAAAATGAGATGGAGGAAATAGTAATTCTGTTATTCATTTTTTATGATTTTTGTATTTTTTAGAAACTAATTATTTTTTACGCAGACCAAAGCTGCTGGGGGAGTTCGTCCAGACTACCTAGCGATGATCAAGAGGCGATACACAAACAAAAAACCGATGAACTCCAAGATCCGGAGATACGTGAGGTTGTTGAGAATAGCAAGAAGTTGAAGACTGACCGTTAAAACGAACTCTCGCATCTCTCTCTTAATAGATCTACGTCCTCGAATGAGCTAGGCCAGGAAGAGATCAACAAGATCGTTCTTTTGGTAACTTATGATTATTTTTTAATAATTTTTATTTGTTTTGTAATATTTAATTTTTATAATTTTTTGTTGCAAACACGCAAAATCAAGGGAATCGTCATTGGGTTAGGTGGACTTTCGAGCATGGAGTCTTCTAGTTCCGATTACCACTACCCGCCTCCGAAGTACTAAGCTGACATCGAACGGTTGACTTAGGACGTCAGAGTACGTGATGAAAAGATCGAGGCAATGGAGCAGCGGCATGAACAGTTGGCGACTGCTTACACCGCGACTCGAGATAAGCTAGCTAAGATGAAATAAATTATGGAATCGCATTTTCCAGATTTATCTAAGTAGTTATGATTTTTTTAATTGTAAACATGTTTTTTTTATTAAGACAATTTATGTTTACTAATACAACAATAAAGACATTACTATTATTATTATTATTATTATTATTATTATTATTATTATTATTATTATTATTATTAAATAAAAGTAATTATGATACATATACAACACACATCTTATTTTCTTTTTAATAAAAAAGTACTTTTCATCTCTTTACCAAGAATCCAAACATTGTATATAGTCCCTCCCAACATGGATGGATGGACACATATCTAGACCTTTTTACCATTGGCCTAACACAATATTGGTAACACATCTTATATTTATCAATTATGTTGTAATTTTCATGTTACTACAGCCAAAACCTCACAATACAACCAATAAAACTATCACAAAAATTTCTGCAATAAATCTCCACGTCAATAAATTTACCGTTAAAACCAACACACTTACTTTACAAATCAATAATCCACTTTTTTATATCATAGCTGTTACAGCACAAATAGTAAGGTTGTGATTTTTCCCTGCAGTTTCTAAAAATAAAAAGTCTTTGTTAATTTGTTTGTATCGTTTAGAAAAGAAGCTATACCATAATTGGTAAAATTTGGTAGCTGTTATAAATATATTGATTATACATTTGGAATAACTTTCTTTCCAAGCTTCTTAGCTATTAAGTATTCATCTTCCTTGAACATTCCTCTTAGATTATTTTGTCCTTAAGTTTTTAAAATTTTGTCTCCAAGCTTCTTTACTATATATAGGTGAGCTTGGCTTTGTAAACAACATAATCTAGTGAGAGAAATAACAAGAGATCTTTGATATTGTTCTTCATTGTCTAACCCTCTCTCTAAGTCTCTTCTCTAGTATTTACATATATACGAACATCTTTCCGAAGTTGTATTTCACAACAGTAGCAGTTTTTTATAAGCGGTAAGCAGAGGCAGATCCACTTAAAAGGAAGGGGGGTCATCTGACACCCCATAAATTTTTATATAATTGATTTTGTACATAAATTTATGAAAAAAAACATTAGCATTGTTTGTAAATGCTACCAATTAAACCCCCTAAACCCAAGATCAAATCTCTGATATGACCATTTCAATATATTTTTTTCTATTTGATAAATTGACCCAGGTTAAAAAAAATCCTGATCCGCCACTGGAGGTAAGTAACTAAAAAATTTAAAGCTATATCATAATTGTACCAAACATCACAAAATGCCAAAGAAAAAGATCAAAGAAAGGATTTTGAAACTAATTTCATCTGTGCTGAAGTCAGACCCTCCTTTGATGGCAGAAGTGACGCCACTCATCTTGATGTCGCAGATTTCCTCGTTGATCCAGAAGAATCAACGGAAAGGAAATGACTGAGATCGATGTAACTTAGTACCTTTCTGAAGAAGACATGAAAAATTATAATCTAGTCTTACTTTTTCAATAAAAATATAATTTACTTTTATAGTCTTTTGTTAAGAAAAAAAGGGATGGTTTTTGTTGATGTAATATAACTTTTAAGGTCTATGTCTCGGTTTAATAATATATTTATCTTTATGATAATTGTGATCCAGAAGAAGTCGCAGTTTGAGATTCAGGATGGAGTTACTTGTCTAGCAGACAGTGCTACGACACACACACAATAATTAAAGACAAAAAGTATTTCTCCTATCTCAAAATAAAGGATTCCGCCGGATGCGTGAGTACCATATCTGGTAATGCAAAGATTATATTAAGCTCTGGAAGAGCAAGTTTTTTAATGCCAAGGAGGACTAAATTTGAAGTGCAAGATGCCTTATATTCCCCCGAGTCTCTTAGAAACTAGTTAAGTTTTAAGGATATCCGCAGTAATGGATATCATATAGAAACTATGAATAAAAATGGCATTGAATATCTTTGCTTTACATCTTTGAGTAGACATGTATTGGAGAATTACCAATAATGTCCTCTGGACTATATTGCACAAAAATAAATATGACTGAATCATATGTTACAGTAAACTTGAACTTCAAGTTTACTAGTACATTTAAATTATGGCATGAAAGATTTGGCCATCTGGGATCAGTCATGATGAGAAAGATAGTGCAAAATTCGAGTGGCCACTCATTGAAAAACCAGAAGATTTTTCAATCACGACAGTTTTCATGTAAAGCATGTTCTCAAGAAAAAAAATCATAATTTGGCCCTCGCCAGCCAAAGTTGGGAATGAGTCTCCTGTATTCTTAGAGAGAATACATGGTGATATAAGTGGGTCGATTCACCCACCATGCGAGCCATTCAGATATTTTATGGTATTAATTGACGCATCCAGTAGATGGCCACATGTGTGTCTCTTGATCACAAGAAATATGGTTTTCACAAGATTCATTGCCCAAATAATCAGGTTAAGATCGCAATTCCCTGATTATGCCATAAAGAAAATCAGGCTAGACAACGCTAGTGAATTCACTTCAGCGGCCTTTAATGACTATTGTATGTCACTGGGAATCGAGGTTGAGCATCCGATTCCACATGTTCATACACAAAATGGCATGACTGAATCTTTGATTAATCGGTTGCAGTTAATTGCAAGACCATTAATATTGAGAACAAAGCTCCCAATTACTGTAATTAGTGTATGGGGACATGCAATATTGCATGCTGGGGCATTGGTCCAGATGAGGCCAAGTGCATATAATGAATATTTCCCAATACAATTAACATCTGGCAAGGAGCCAAATGTGTCTCATCTCCGTATTTTTGGATGTGCGGTTTATGTCCTGATAGCCCCGCAGCAAAGAACAAAAATGGAGCCACATAGGAGATTGGGAACATATATCAGATATAGGTCCCCAAATATAATTAGGTATCTTGAACCGATAACTAGAGATATGTTTACGGCACGTTTTGCCGATTACCACTTTGATGAAAGTGAACTCCCCGCGTTGGGGTGAGGATCTAGAAAATCACCAAAAGATATCATATGGTGTACAAAAACTTTGGCTTATCTTGATCCTCCTACCATTCAACGCAAGGTGGAAGTTCGAAAAAAAATACATTTACAAAGTTTGGCAAACCAGTTACCTGATGCGTTCACAGATACGAGAAGAGTGATGAAGTCTTATATCCCCGTTGCTAATGCTCCATCAAAAATAAATGTTCCGGAACAATGTATTGATGGGAATAGAGCAAATGAACCGCATGTTCAATTAAAGCGCGGGAAGCCAATAGGCTCGAAGGATAAAAATCTTCGAAAGAAAAGAAAATTGGGAGACAAAGTTCTAGAAGAACCAAATGAAGAAAAATGTCTAGAAGATATTTGTGAAAAAGTTCCAGAAGAACCAGATAAAGAGGTTTGTCCTGAAGACGATCCCGATACTGAAAAATATGAGATTTCCATTAGTTTCGCCCAAAGTGGGACATTATGGGCTAGAAGCAAGATAGATGATACAAATGAAATGTTCTCTTTTTTGGTATCTAGAGAAATAAAAATGGAATGTTCTCTTTTTTGATATCCAGAGAAATAGATCATGAAGATGATCCAGATCCAAGGTCTGTGTCAGAGTGCCAGAAAAGGCCTGACTTGAAGAAATGGCAAGAGGTCATGAGAAATGAATTATTCTCCCTGAATAAAAGAAATGTCTTTGGACCTGTAGTCATTACACCTAAATATGTAATGCCAGTTGGGTGTAAATGGGTCTTTGTGAGAAATAAGAAATAAGAAAAAACGAGGTCACAAGGTATAAGGCCTGACTCGTTCCACAAGGCTTTTCTCAAATAGCAGGAATTGATTATGAAGAGACATATTCTCCAGTTATGGATACAGTCACATTCATATACTTAATGAGTCTAACGGCATCTAAAAGTTTAGAGATGTACCTGATGGATGTGGTGACTGCATACCTATATGGTTCACTTGAAGTGATATATACATGAAAATTCCAGAAGAATTAAAGATCCCAAAAAGATCAAAGATGCCGGAAACATATAGGGAAATATGTTCGGTCAAACTACACCAATCACTTTACGGACTAAAACAGTCTGGACGCATGTGGTATCATCGCTTAAGTGAATACTTGTTGAGTAAATGATACATCAACAACGCGATATCCCTTTGTGTATTTATTAAGAAATCCGCATTGGGATTTGTGATCATTGCCGTATATGTTGATGACATGAACATAATTGGAACTCAATAGGAGATTGATGAGCATGAACTCATATGAAAGAAGAGTTCAAAATGAAAGATTTTGGAAAGAAAAAACTTTGTCTAGGGCTCCAAATAGAGCATTTCCAAGACGGAATATTTGTGCATCAATCAAATTACACCAAAAGGATGTTAAAACGTTTTGATATGGATAAAGCGACTTCTTTGAGTAATCCAATGGTCAATAGATCGCTTGATGTTGACAAGGATCCATTTCGACCTTGTGAAGATAACGAAGAAATATTATGTTCTGAAGTACCTTATATGAGCGCTATTAGCAGATTAATGTACCTTGCAAATTGTACTCGACCAGATATAGCCTTTGCTACCAACCTACTTGCAAGATAGAGTGCATCATCCCCTATGCGCAGACATTGGAATGGGATAAAGCACATCTTCATTTATCTACGAGGTACGATTGACTTAAGCCTATTTTATTCAAGAAACCTTGAGATTGGTCTAGTTGGTTTTGCAGATGCAGGATACTTGTCAGATCTGCATGAAGCGCGATCGCAAACAGGATATGGTTTCACATTTGGTGGAACGGCGATCTTGTGGCGTTCTCAAAAACAGACTTTGGTCGCCACTTCTTCAAATTATGCGGAGATTTTTGCGCTTCATGAAGCATGCAGAAAGTGTGTGTGGCTAAGATCAATGACTGAACACATACAAGAATCAAGCAGAATAATCAAAGATAAAGAACCTACAAAAATATTTGAAGACAATGCTGCTTGGGTCGCCCAAATTAAAGAAAGTTATATCAAGAGTGACAGCACAAAACATATTCCTCCAAGATTTCTTCCATATACTCAAGAACTCGACAAGAATGAGGAAATCGATGTCCAATACATTTATTCAAACAACAATGCAGTAGATCTTTTCGCAAAGGCGCTTCCTACTGCAATATTCAGAAAATATATTTACAGCATTGGAATGCGTCATCTACGAAACTTGTGAAGAGAAAAATATATGTTTTTTTTTCAGGAGGAGCTTTACTGCACTCTTTTTCTTTTGTTCTGGTTTTTGTTCTAAAACGGAGTTTTCTATGATAAAGTTTTTAACGAGGCAGTATGCACCGCATCAATATAAATGGATAATCAGAGTGTTATAAGTATGTTGGTTATATTTTTGGAATGACTTTCTCCCCAAGCTTTTTAGCTACTAAGTATTCATCTCCCTTGGACATTCATTTTCCTTGGATCACTTTATCTCCAAGTTTTTAAAACTTTGTTTCCAAGCTTCTCCACTATATATGTGTGAGTTTGGCTTTATAAACAACATAATTTAGTGAAAAAAATAACAAGAAATCTTTGATATTGTTCTTCATTCTCTAACTCTCTCTCTAAGTCTATTCTCTAGTGTGTGCATATATATGAACGTGTTTTCACAACAGTAGCAGTTTTTTATAAGTGGTAAGTAACTAAACAAATTAAAGTTATATCATAGTTGGTTGGGCTTTGATGCTTTGTAAGAGCTCAAAGAGTAAGAGATGGCCCAACGAATCAACACCTTAATTTAACATGAAAATATCCAAAATATTAAAAGAATCCGTCGCGTATTTTAAATAGGTTGCTTTTTGATAATTTCCCCTGTTGCAAGTAATTCTTTCCTTTCTCTAAGATATTATATTTCATTCCATATTTTATAAACAGAACAAAAAAAGGCTCCAATGGTGTGGGACAATGGAATCCCTGTCGACTAAAAAAAATGGAAAAGGTTTTCGACCGGGCCAATAAATTGAAAGAATAGTAAATTACTATCATATATATACCAAAAAGAGCAGAGAAGAAGTGTGTGAAGAAAATATCATGCATAAAAAATGTCCTGAAGAGAAGTTATAGGATTCATGCAAATATTATACATCACGCTAATTTTCATGCTCTTGTACTATATATACATAGTAACCAAACAAACTCATTAGTCATTACAGAAAACAAAACTAACCAAAAAACAAGAAAAAATGGGGAGAATAAATATATGGGCACTAATATTGTATGTAACAGTAGTGATGATGATAATCGAAGTAGAATCAAGTCTTCACAGAGTAGGCGGCGGAAAATACAATTGGAATCAAGATGTTAACTTTACCGATTGGGCCAACCACCAACGCTTCTACTCTGGCGACTGGCTCTGTTAGTAAAGAACATTTCTTCATTCTTTTTTTTCCACTTCTAAATTTTTTGTTTTTGGAACAATTTAGAATAAAAAGTTTAAAAATTTTAAATAGGTCAAGTATTTCAGAATTAAAGGAAATACACCACTTCAATTTTAATTTTTTTTTTTGGGGTTACTATTTATATTATAGGATTTGGTTTTTTAAATTTCGAGTTTCATTCTAGACTCTTTTTTTTTCTAAAATGTGAGTTAATTTTTTTTTTTTTTATTTTGGTATAGAATACTTTCTCATTCTAAGCATTTTTACCACTCTACAATTGTTTAAATTAAAAATTGACCAATTATTTAAAATTTAAAAAGTAAAAAACACTATTTTTCAGATGTGAATTTTTGTATTCATTGAAGGTTAGTTTTTAGGTTTAAGAATTCAATTTTTTTGTATTTGTTAGGATACTGGATTGGGATTTTTCTTTATAGGGTTAGACTTTTGTTATTTAAATAATCTATTTAAGTTTTTCTAAAATGTGGTCGAATTTTATTAATTTTGAATATGAAATATTTATATGGGTTGATCTTACTCTAACTTTTCATCTAAATTTACAGATTTTGGGTTTGATCGAACCCATCACAACATCCTCCAAGTAAACAAGAGTAGCTACGAGCAATGCATCGACACTGACTTCATATTCAACGTGGCACGTGGAGGACGAGATGTATTTCAACTTCTTCAACCAAAGCCTTATTACTTCATTTGCGGTAGAGGTTATTGCATGAAAGGAATGAAGCTTGCCGTTAACGTCCTTCCTCAACCGCCGCCTTCAATTCCAAACGTTACCATCACTCCGGCCTCGACCGCCACTACTCTCATTATACCCTTAAACGCTTTAACCGCGGTTGCTATCACCATTCTCACCGCCTTCGCCTTTAAAGCTTTATAATTTTACTATGGCTATGTGTCTTCTTATCTCGTTTCTTTGTTAATTTTGGTTTTGGTGTTATCAATTGAAACCAAAGGGTCATTTCCTTAATTAGAAATATTCACTACATTACGTCGCTTCATTGGGTGTTTGTTCAATCTAAATAATCTGATCCGAACCAACCTAAACCAAACCAAAATAACCATATTTCAAGACCGTTAAATCCTATTACGGTTTAAATGGATTCATGTTTTTATAATTGAAATAAATCGAAAGCTGAAATGAAGAAGAAAACTGTTCGTTGAGAAAAAAAGAAATAAAGGGAAAACTGATCTAAAAACCTATGTTTCTTTAAGCTGGGGAAAATCTAATGTTTCTTTAAACTTATTGATCTTTTTCACTAAAATCTGAGGTCGAACCGAAACCGCACCAAACCGTCCATTACAAGGCTTTCCTTAGGAAATATCATATATTTTTAGACGAAAATAATTAAACCTTTTTTTCAAAAAAAAAAAAAAATTAAACCTAGCTTATGTCGTTTTTTTTTTCCCACTTCCTAAACTTAAGAGATATATTTTTTAGAATAAGTCATTTTGAAGCAACCGTTGATAGAGAGAGTTAAGGGGCAAAATCCTAGTGCGAGGAACAACAAGGCTAGAGAAAATAGTTAGAATAACATACCAAACCTTTAATTTTGTTGCCTAGTGAAATAAAGAGACTAGTTGTGGCTTTCTTTATAAATTTTCAGAAACTTCAGCCAAACGACATTCCACTGGTATGAGTCTCTAAGACGCAATTGAATAGCAAAAGAATTAGCTCGACGATCTCGCAGCTAGGTAGCTCGACAATATTGTAGTTAGGCAACTCATCGTACTTGCAGCAGCTAGGGAGCTCGACAATCTTGCAGTTAGGCAGCTCGTCAATCTTGTAGCTATACAACTTATCAATCTCACAGCTAGGAATTCACTACAAGAAACCATGTTATATTTTTACGAAAACATTTGGTATGAAAATCCGGCGAAACGGACCAAATCTCGTCGCGACAGTGACCAAAGAGGAAGAAGCAGCGCTCGAGAAGCATCTTGCTAGCCACCCAAACGACGTTGAAGCTCTTCAGTCACTGACGAAAATCAAACTCCTAAAGGCTCATATGCAAACCTACGACAGCGATTTCGACTCGGCAACCTAAGGATTGAAGGAGATTCTGATGAAACATTTGATTTTTATTTATTATTTTCTATTTCTTTTTATTGTTAAAACATTTAATGTTTGTATATTATTATTCGAATTCATAATTAATAATAATTTTAGTTTCAAATTTTTTAACAGAATAAATTTAATTTTTGAAATTAATTTAGTTGTTTAAAATTAATTTAATTATATTTTTATTATTATCGTAGAAAAACAGTTGAAAGTTTTCTATAATCTTTCTATCAAAAATTTCCACAATTTTCCAACCAAAATTTTCCACAATTTTCCAACCAAAATTTTTGTCAAAATTTTCCTACCAATATTGTTGTAAGAAATTTCTTATCTTTTTTTTTTCTTTTACAATTTTCGACGGTCAATTTTCTATAACAAAATTTCAATTTCATAGAAATTTGATAATAATAAAAAGTTGTTTCCTACACTTTTCCGGTGATATTTTCTGTAAATTTTCAACATGTTTTCAGCATGTTTTCTTGTAGGTAGACAACTTAACAATCTTGTCGAACTCAATCCTCTCACTATGTAATATGAATTACAAATGATTTTATCTCTTATCAAAAGGTACGTAAGTAACCTTTTACAAAACACAACTGTATGATCAAATACAATCCGAAGTGTACTCTTTTCAAGATAGCTTGTCAACTCGACGAACCAATTTGTTCCTGTAATCACTAAGGTCCAGCTTCATTAATACGAAATTCTCTTAATTTCAAATTGATTTTGACTATCTATGAGATAGGTGAATTTAACAAACCCTAATTTATCAATGAACTAGTGTAGGCAAATGTTTTTTTATTGATTAGGCTACGTAGTCTTTCAGTTTTGGAAATCATTTTTTTGTTTAGAATGAAATAGCACCAAAAAACTAAACCTTCTTAAATATAACCCCTCATTTGGAAGATGACAACTATAGTTTTCATTAAAAAGAATTAAGATAAATTAAGAGAATTAACTAAAATCGATTGGATTATCGCTGCAGATCATTTGCATGAGCCGATCATCGTTGATTTCAATCCACCGACGATTGAGAGATTTCATATCGGCGACTGGATTTGAGATTATGTCGTTCACTGCGATTGAAAAATTTGTGATTGAGATTATGTCGTTTATTGCGAGTGGGATTATATCGTTCATTTACGTGAACCGATCATTATTCATTGCGATTGAAAGATTTCATATAGCCGTTCATATCGTCGATTTCACATCTATCATCATCTCGGTGATTATATTTCCCCAATTTGAATTGAGAGTTTTCCAAAATCATCGTTGGCAAATTTCTCATATACCTTCTTTTGACTATTAGTTTTCAATTATCACAGGTTCCTTATGTTTCAAAGAGAAATGCTGAGAATGTAAGATTATGCAGAGTTGGTATTCATGTGTCATTGAATTGGGCTAAGTACATATCGATTTCAGGCATCACATCATCACATTCAGAAGATTGTTTGTTATCTTTATATATGAGAGTCGACAAGGACAAGCCGCTGCTTTTGAGGATGACATTGCAATTACTGCAATTACTGCAATTATTTGCAGCAATTTAGGAAGACCTTCCTACAATTTATTTTTAGGAAAGACTTCCTGAATATATAAGAAAGCTTCATGAAAATGTTTTAAATGACGTTTGTAAAATGCAATGGTATGAAAGTGATGTTGTGTATTGGAAATTTTTATAGAATTAACTGCAAAGAAAATGAGGTATCAAAAACATCATAATATCCTTTACAAATTACAATTAACTGAAGATAAGATGTTATTTTTCACATGTACATCCAACACCAAATTTTCTTATTGACTATTTAGGAAGACCATCCTAAATATATATGAATCATTTATGAAGTAGGAAGGTTTCTTGAATATTTCTGAATACCTTCCTACCTTCCTAAAATGTATATGAATTATTTGATCATCTAAAAACTTAAGAAATATTCAAGTGAACATAAAAATGATTTGCAACAACAAACATGTCTAAGAATTCAAGAGTACTTTGATAACATAGATAAACAGCACAAACATCTCAATTCATTCTAAAACGTGTTATTGGAACTTATGTGTCTATTTATGCAACAAATGAAATTTAGAAAGTCATCATATATAGTGAGAAAGACATTCTTAAAAGAGTTAAATGATAACGTTTATTTCTATTTATACAACAATTGAAATTTTAGAAGCCATCATATACATTTAGGAAGGCATACATGTACAAATGATAACTTTTGTGACTATTTATACATGTACTTAATTTTAGAAAGTTATTATTTACATTTAGGAAGGAATTCTTAAAAGGTAAATTTTTCTTCTTCTCAATCACACTCGTACATTATATGATTCCATCCGACCATACATACTTCTTCCCATGAAGAAGTGTTCCTTTGAGTTGACCAGAATAAGTATCACAATTTGAGAATTCCCTCTCCAGACCTGAGGAAAGACAAAGTACACTTTAGATCTAAGACCTGAGAAAACAAAACAATCACATACAAATGCCTTCGGGTTTATGAAAACGATTCAGAAAGACATTCCTAAATTTTTATGAATCAACAAATACAACTATAGACTATAATCAAACATGCTCTAACACCCAATACCCTACAATCCGCCATCAGAACCTACAAAATTTACCAATTCGACGAAATTTAACCAACAAAATTGATACCCAATCCAACAAAAATCAATTACCAATCAGAAGAATTTATCCTAACTGATGCGCAATGCTTGTTCTTCCGCTTTCAGACTCGAATGCTTCAAGCAAATCGATGAAGTTTTATCTGAGAAAATCAATTTAGGTTTTGCAAAGGTTTGAAGGAGAAAATCATTAGAGCGTGTTTTCTGGGTTTAATGAAGGCTTATAGTTGTCCCAATACAAAGGGAGGGCTCTATTAGAGAAACTTTAATTTTTTGGGGCAATTTTAGAGAATTGCCTTTTTCTCATTTTCACTTATTTGTATATATCCATATTGCTGACAAACTAATATTTAAAATGTAAAATAAATAACAAAAATAAAAACTAAGTATTGTTATCCAACCATAAAAGGAAAATTTCTTATTTAAACAGCTCTAATTAATTCTTAAAATTTCTTATTTAAACCGCTCTAATTAATTCTTATATGTTGTGGTCCCTAACAACAAAAAAAAGGTTTACACATGATATCTCATTCGTTTTTTTTAATTTGGAAAGTTATAATATATAGAAGTTATGATATAGATGCTCAAATGTGATAAAAACCCGGATAGTATCGTCATGAAACCCCATTTTTATTAACGAACTAATGAAGCCAAATCGATTTCAATGTTGGATTAAAAAATCGCCAAGATTCGTGCTTACTATATCCATGACAACAACAACATCATTTTTGAACAATATTTATTTAAACCTAAAGACAAAATTGAATGAGAAGAGGCGGAAACAAAACCCTAGCTCTCGGTTTTCTCTCTAGCGCCGCTTTGTACGGACTGTATGGACACCGATTTTCTCAAGAATTTCGCTTCTTCCTTCTTTGAATCTTGTCTCGGATACTTTGATCTCCTTTTCCCCTCGCTTGTTGCTCTGTTGTTCCATAGTTAGCCAGCTCAGTTTCTGTTTTTAACAGTGCATTTGCTTGGTCTTTCTTCTCTGGTCACCATTTTCCCGTAACTTCTCATCTCCCCTGTTTCTAGCTCACTGCTACGGGTTACTCTGTGGAATGTCAAACCATCGTGATGACCTATCCGTTCCAAGAGACCGGAGATCTCTGCAAGAGGATGAACCCATCAGGATTCCAAGATTTGACAACTCGGCTTTGCTGGCTCGTTTCCGACTCACTCTCATCGGTCGGACCTTTCACCAAGGAAGAAGCACTGAGGCTTTGCTCGCCTTCATGCCTCGGGCTGGAATCTGGGACCTGGATGGCAGAGTTCAGGGTCACGACCTTGGGAATGGTCGATTCTTTTTTGACTTCGAAACTGAGGAGGACTTGCATAAGGTCCTCAAGCGCAGACCCTGTCACTTCAATTGCTGGACCTTTTCACTAGAGAGGTGGGAATCCAACATCCGGGATGATTTCTCGAGCACTGTAACCTTCTGGATAACAATCAGAGGAGTACCTCTTCACTACTGGGTGGATGAAGCTTTTCGGAAGATTAGAGAGGCTTTGGGTCATGTCGAAGAAGTGGATGTGAAGGATAGAAGGGTCAATGTTACTGTCGATGATTCTCGGTCTCTCTTTATGGAGCGTCGAGATCAGTTTGACAATGGTGATGAGGTCTCTGTGACCCTCCAGTATGAACGCCTTTACCGTTACTGTTTCACCTGCAACATGATTTTGCATGAGGAAAGGAATTGCCCGTTGTTATCAGATCGTGAGCGTCAGGATAACATGGCTCACCGATCTGCCCTGATTTCGGCTGGTAACGAGCGACTAAGAGAGGAACCGATTTCTGATCCACACCAGCGTGAATCTCCTGCTCGGGATGTTCCTGAGCGGCTTACCCTGGGTGGAAATGATCGGAGAGAGCATCTCTCTGCAAAGAGGACCGCGATCTCTCTACCATTGGGCAAAGCTTAGATCCTGCAGCTGCAGAGATCCCCACCAAGGGAGACTCTAAGCTTTGCCCAATGGTAACCCCTTCGTCTTCCTCGTTCTCAGGCTCTGGACTCTGAACGAGAAGCTGGAAACCATCGCTCCATTATTGCTGCTGATAAGGGGAAAGCTGTCGCAGAAGAGGAAGATCCAGTTGACTCTGAGAGATCGCATAGGCGTATGTTTGAATATGGTTCAGGTTCAGGCACAGCTGTTTCTCCTCTGCAGAATGCTCTGTCTCGGGGAGCTGATGTTACTACAACCGAGCCGACTACTCCTCTAGCTCTGGCACTAGTGGACACTAAAATGACGATTGAAGGGGAGAAGAACCTCTTTGGTGAGGAGGTGGTTCCCTTCGACTGGGAGGATCTTGCTGATGATATTGCTGAAGAGGAACTCGCCATTAAGCTCGCCAAGGAGGACCGATTAAATGATCTTCCAAATGAGGAGCTTGTTGTTGATCCTGCTGATAAGGAGCTTGATGAAGATTTTACTAAGGAGGATGATAACCTGGAATTTATGGAGTAAGACCTTCGGATCCTCGGGGAGGCACTCGCTGATGCTTTTGATGGTGTGAGCCAGGAGCATACTATCTCTGAAACGCTGGTGCCCATTGTTTATGAAATCAGGGAGACCCCAGCGTCTTCTCAGTCCCCAACGAGCAGACGTTCTCGTTCTCCTAAGCAAGTTAAGGCTGCTCTCTCCGAGGCTGGTGACCCTAAAGGTAAAAAGAATCGTCAGCTCTTTACTACCGGTTCAAGAAAGCATGTGGAAGAAAGGAAGAAGATCCCCAGAAGTCCCAAAGGGGTTGGAGTTGCAATCTCTAAGAAGCTCAAGCCTTTCCACGGCAAGAACTCTCCTAAGAAGAAACCTGGATCAACTCAAGGAGGATCTAGGGGTAAGAAACCTAAGAGTTCCACAACTTTCCCTCGTAAGGAGGAGATCTTTCCTATCTCTAAATGTCTCGCTTGTAATGGTTCTAAATAGGCAAATGTCTCTCGATCTTGTGTAGGTTTGGTGGGGTCCCAGAACCCACCCAAGCCCACCATATGAGGACAATCGCAAAGACCAACAGCTCGTCGACTGTAAGAGATATGTCGGAGATTCTCTCCAAGTTTTTTATTTCTCTCTGAGACAAAGAACGATCGTTTTTTTCTGCAGAATGTGCAAGTAACTCTTGGTTTTGATAATCTCCACACTGTTGAACCTGAGGGTACTAGTGGAGGATTAGCTCTTATGTATTCTAAAGATTTTCCGGTTAAGATTTTATTCTCTGATGATTGTTTATTTGATATTGAGACTTTTATCGATGGAAGCCGTGTTTTTATGTCATTTGTGTATGGTGATCCTGTGGTTAAGAACAGAGAATATGTTTGGGAACGGTTGAGTAGGATAGGGACTAATCGAAGTGGTGCTTGGTTTATTGCTGGTGACTTTAATGAAATCTTTGGGAACCACAAAAAGAGTGGTGGCAAGCGCCTTTCTTAAGCTTCCTTCCTCCCATTTCAAGCTATGATAAATTGCTGTGGTTTTATTGACTTCCCTTACACGGGAACCAGTTTTCTTGGGTCAGTTGACGGCGAAATGGTATAGTTAGATGTCGATTGGATCGCGCCATGGGCAATGAAGACTGGCACAGTATTTTCTCTCACACTCAGGTGGAGTACATGAAGATTTGGGCTTCTGATCATAGACCCCTTCTTATTACTATACAGAAAAAACCGATGTAACCCTGTAAGAGTTTCTTATTTGATAGGAGATGGCTTGACAAACCAGGGCTGCAAGAAGCTGTGCGGGATGGATGGAACATTCCTCGTCGCGCATCAACTAACTCCCTCATTAGCCGTATTCAAAGCTGTAGGAGAGAGATCTCCAAGTGGAAGAAGGGCACAAACACAAACTCGGAAAAACTCATACTAGAACTACAAGATCAAATTGATCAAGCAAATGACGATGAAAATTGCTCCTCCGAGTACCTTCTTGAGTTAAAAAAAGAAGCTATGTGATGCATATATAGATGAAGAACAATATTGGAGAGCAAAGAGTAGAGCTTTATGGTTAAAGGACGGAGATCCAAACACCAAATTTTTTCATGCGACAACCACGCAAAGACGAGCTAGAAATAGAATCTTAGGTCTTCTTGATCAAAATGGTTTATGGGTTGACAATGAGGAAGGAATTGAGAAAGTTGCGATAGATTATTTTCAAACCCTCTTTTCATCTTCACCATCATCTAATTTGGAAAACGCTTTCCGAGATGTTCCCGTGTCCGTCACGGCTTCAATGAATGAGGCTTTGACAAAAGATGTCTCCGTTGAGGAAGTTAAACGGGTGTTATTCTCTCTGCATCCGGATAAATCTCCTGGGCCGGATGGGATGACCGCTTGTTTCTTTCAAAAGTTCTAGGACACATTTCGAGAGGACTTAGTGGCAACGGTTAAGGAGTTTTTCCGTACAAGCTCCTTTGATGAGAGAATGAATGAAACGTATCTGCCTCATTTCTAAGGGAGAGAAGCCACGCGAGATGACTGGTTTTAGACTGATTAGCCTTTGTAATGTGGCGTACAAAGTGATCTCCAAGATACTCAGCCTTCGATTGAAAAGGTTTCTTCTAGAATTAATTTTCAAGACTCAATCGGCATTCGTGGCTGGTCGTTTAATTACGAATAACATTCTTATTGCTCAGGAAAACTTTCATGCCCTCCGCTTTAACCCAACTTGTTGAAAGAAGTTTCTGGCAATAAAGACCGACATGAACAAAGCTTATGATCGTGTGGAGTGGACCTTTTTGCGGGCATTGATGGAGAAGATGAGATTTGATTCCAGATGGGTTGGATGGATCATGCACTATAGTACTTTGGTTACATATAAAGTACTCATTAATGGAATCCCGAAGGGCCAAATTAAACCTTCCTAAGGCATTCACCAAGGTGATCCGATCTCTCCTCACCTATTTATCTTGTGCACGGAGGCCCTTATCACATAATTAAAGAAAGCAGAGGCAGATGGGAAGATCCAAGGGATTAGAATTGCAAGAGCAAGTCCACCCACATCGCATCTCCTGTTTGGAGATAATAGCTTGTTCTTCTGCATGGCGGATGAGTCCCAATCTAAAGCAGTCATCAATATTATCCACTCCTATGGTAAGGCATCGGGCCAAAGAATTAACTATGCCAAATTTTCTATCATGTTTGGTAATGACATTCCTCCCCTCGTGAGAGCAGAACTAAAAACCACTCTACGGGTCAATCAAGAAGGAGGAATGGGAATGTACTTAGGCCTTCCTGAAAAGATTCATGGATCTAAGATCCAGGTGTTTACATTCGTCAGAGATCGACTTCAGAGCTGCATTAATTCGTGGTCTGCCAAACTTCTCTTGAAAGGGGGTAAGGAGGTTCTGATCAAATCCCAAGCTCAAGCCCTTCCGACTTATGTTATGTCATGTTATCTTCTTTCGAAAGCCATTCGGTCGAAATTAAACAGTGCAATCTCTAAGTTCTGGTGGAGTACCAAGGCAAATAATGGTGGGATCCATTGGATCGCATGGGACAAAATCTGCTATAGCTTAGAGGAAGGAGGATTGGGGTTCCGAAATCTCGAAGCGTTTAACCTTTCTCTTTTAAGAAACAACTTTGGCGACTTCTACGATACTCGAACTCTTTGCTAAGTAGGGTCTCAA